TTTCTCCTTGCATCAACATAAGCTTGTAGCAGTATGCATTGCCCTGTTATTAAAAATTGTTAGTATGTCATGTGCCCAAGCTACCACCACCTACGGAATTTAACTGCACATTTGTGTCAACCAGTCTAAACTGCTTCCTATGGTGGTAAGGCTTAGGAAGCCCAGCAACTGTTTTCCATATTAAGCAGTCAGGTTCAGTAGGAGCCTGTTGGACAACATTCAAATGCTTTATGTTTCAAAGCCCACCCAGCTAGTCACTATCCATCCATCCATGCATTCAGAATTTAGTATCTATCTCTTGTGTTCAATGTGCTATTGTTTAGTTTTTCAATTCATTTGCTTCTTGAACTTTGAAGAGGCATCACTTAATTCCAACAGTTTGTCCTGGACACTTTGTTTTGAGAAAAACTTAGGGTCTCCACAGACATGATATATGAGGAGTACATATAATGTACTTTGTCAGCAAAGAGAACTTGATTTTCTCTAACGCAACAAAAGGCAATAAGGGGTGATTTTTGTCATCCAAATTTACAATTACACCAAAATGTCTTGTGATTATAAACTCTTTCAGGTTGTGTTGAATTAACTGGCGCAGCAGACTTTGAAGATGAATATGATGATATTAAAACATACAGGCAGAATTTTTTTATTGTCACTGAATGCTCTAAGTGGTACAGCCTAGTGATTATAGGTATGAGCTTTGGAGTTTAAATTCTGATCACATCATTTAACTAAGCTGTAAAACTTCAGCAAGTTATTCAATGTCTCTAAGTTTCAATTTATGCATCTGTAACCTAGGCATATTAATTCTTCTTTAACTGAACTGCTTTGAGGATTAAAAATACCTAATAGGTGCTTGGCATATAGTAAATGCTTAAAACAAAAGTATTATACTTTGCTTTTATTTCTCTTCTGATTTCCTTTCTTCCCAAATTAACCAAGCATTTTAAATAGAAGGCTTACAAATTTGTTACTTACAAAAATGAATTAGTAATATCTGATTTTAATCTTTATTGAGTATGGATTTTGCCTAACAGAATGAATCCCAATATTTAGGAGATTCACAAAATTTCTAAATGAATTATATCAGCAGAAACACTCCAAGCTTGGGCTGAAAGGAACAAAGACAGTACAAAAGGAAAAGGGGTCTTTGGATCCCTAAAACTTCTACAAGAAGAAAGCAGTCTAAGAAAAACATGAAGTGGCAAACAGAGGCTACCTTTCAAGAAAACGGAAGGATGATTCAGACAGTGGAACCAAGAACCTAGTGGGCAGAGCCAAGCACCTGGGAGGTTCACTCCTGGTAAACAGCAGGACTGAGTCCTAATCAAAACACCTCCAAACATTTGTCCAGATGGATTTCACAATTGTTTTGGACCGGTGACTCCTTTGTATTTCCCAATTTTCTCCTTTTTGAAGAGGAATGTCTATAGCAGTTACCTGTCCTGCCACTGGGGAGCATGAATCTTTATTTCACAGGTCAATAGGACCTGTACTTAAGGTTCTACACCCTGAGGAGGATCATCTGCAGCTGGGCCACATTTAGATGATGAGATTCTGTATTCAAGGTAATGTTGTAATGGGATAAGACTTTTTAGGAGGTGCTAGGAAGAGATGAGTGTATTTTGCATGTGGGAGGAAGAAAAATAAATTGTGGCATGACAGACTGAGGTTCCTTTAAAATAAATTGTGACCTACCAGGGATGGTGGCACATACCTGTAGTCCCAGCTACTCAAGAGGCTGAGGCAAGAGGATCGATTGAGCACAGGATTTTGTGTGCGATGATTGTGCCTGTTAACAGCCGCTGCACACTAGCCTGGGGCAACGCAGTAAGAACCTGTCTCTAAATAAATAGTAACTAGAGAGTGGACGATTCTCTCCTCAAAAGATGGAGCTTTAATTTCTCTCCCCTGGAGCATGGGGAGAATTTAATGACACACTTCTAACTAAGAAATATGGTACAAGTGATAGTGTGTGATGTCTGAGATTAGGTCAAAAGCAGCATTGCAGGCTGCCCTCTCTTGGATCCTTGCTCTGGGGAAGAATAGGCAAGCAGGTTTAGAAAAAGGTCCACGTGGCAAGGAAATGTGGGCTTTTGCCAACAGCCATGTGAGTGATCCATCTAAGAGTGGATCCTCTAGCTCCAGTAAAGCCTTCAAATGACAGCAGCCCTGGTTAACATACTGACTTGCAACTTCATCGGAGAACTTGAGCCAGAACAACTCAGCTAACCTGCTCCTGAATTTCTGACCCACAGAAATGGTGAGATAATGAATGCTTGCTGTAAAGCTGCTAAGTTTTGGAATAATTTGTTATTTAGCAGCAGATAATACAAGCCACCAAGGATCATTTCTCTTGGTGAAGTTTCTGTTACATCAAAAGAAACTTAGAAACCACTGTCCTAAAATACGGCAGGAAGACAAAATGTATACACTTTCTCAAGTCTTTCACAAACAAGATTTTAAATTCACTAGCAAAGATCTAGGGAAAAAAAGATCAGCTTTTAATTTTTCAAACCTCAGCCTTCTTTGTTCCACTCTGGGCAGAAAGTGATCATTCTTGTTAAGTGAATAGGGAAATGACAAACTATGTGTTTTGCCTTTTCTCATTATTTCATTAAGTTCCCCAAGGCATGAGTAAAATTGTTACTTTTAAGCCAATTTAAAAATAGAAATACATAAGTGTAAAAAAATAATCTGCTTAACATTATTGTGGAAACTATAAAACCAAAACCCGGCATAAAAATGAAGTTTAGTACTTTTTTTAAATTTAAACTTTACAGTTAGAATTCAGTGGTCCTCGGCCGGGCGCGGTGGCTCAAGCCTGTAATCCCAGCACTTTGGGAGGCTGAGGCGGGTGGATCACGAGGTCGAGAGATCAAGACCAACCTGGTCAACATGGTGAAACCCCGTCTCTACTAAAAAAATACAAAAAATTAGCTGGGCGTGGTGGTGCGTGCCTGTAATCCCAGCTGCTCAGGAGGCTGAGGCAGGAGAATTGCCTGAACCCAGGAGGCGGAGGTTGCGGTGAGCCGAGATCGCGCCATTGCACTCCAGCCTGGGTAACAAGAGCTAAACTCCGTCTCAAAAAAAAAAAAAAAAAAAAAAAAGAATTCAGTGGTCCTCTTTTAGACACTTCCTAAAGAAATCTCAGTATTTAACAACCTTAACCAAAACTGAAACTTTATTCTTTTAGTTCCCATATGCTAATGACTGTTACAACAATCGTTTTACAATCATCTGGTTGATAAGTTCTTCTTACATTTTTTTTGAGACAGGGTCTTGCTCTGTCACCCAGGTTGGAGTGCAGTGGTGTGATCACGGCTCATTGCAGCCTTGATCTCCTGGGCTCAAGTAGTCCTTTCACCTCAGCCTCCCAAGTATGAGATTACAGACTCGCACCACCATGCCCGACTAATTTTTTAATTTCTTGCAGAGACAGGGTCTCGCTATGTTGCCCAGGCTAGTCTCAAACTCCTGGGTTCAAGCAATCCTCCCGCCTTGGCATCCTGAAGTGCTGGATTACAACAGACATGAGCCACCATTTCCAGTCTAGTAAGTTAGTTCTTAAAAGTGGAGTTTCTTTAGAGAAGGAAACAAATTTATTTTGATCTGAATAATTATTGTGCTCTTCAAGTATTTACAAACACAGACACTCAAGTTTGCATAAAGTAAAGCACTGAATATTTACTCTCTCATCATGACGTTTCTGATGAATCTTTCCATTTGGAAAGAGTTTCTTTAAAGTGGGCAGTATGCTTTTAAAATTACTCAAAGCTTGCATTGTTTTTATAGGTATGGGAGAATTAATTACCCAGAGTGGAATTCCCTTTCGGTTTTGGACTCACCTCTGAGACTACATTCACAAGGACACAACAAAAATGATTTACCAGGGCAGTTCTAAGCCTTAGTGCTAATTCTGATACTCAAGTTGGAAACCTAATATAACCCTAACCTTGGCATCATGTGTCTATGTGCTGAACTCTGCCTTAGGGGTGCATGATCTTCATTATGCATAGAGTTATGAATTCACTTTGCATTTTAAATCAAGATAGTCTGTCATTTTCCATCATGTATTAATATATTTTCACTAAAGTTTGGGAAGAAAACAGATCACTTGAATATGATTCACGAAGTCTGACTATTGCTGTGCAGACAGGAGTTTTAGCTTGGAATTTTTTAAAATATTTTTTGAGACAAGGTCTCACTCTGTTGCCCAGGCTGGAATGCAGTGGCACAATCACAGTTCACTGCTGCCTTGACCTTCTGGATTCAAGTGATCCTCCTGCTTCAGCCTCCCAGGAGTAGCTGGGACTACATGTGCACACCACCACACCTGGCTAATTTTTAAAATTTTTTGTAGAGATAAGGACTCACTATGCTGCCTAGGCTGGTTTCAAATTCCTGTACTCAAGTGATCTTCCTATGTTGGCTTCCCAAAGTGCTGGGATTACACACATGAGCCACTGAGTCTGGCCTGTTATCTACTTTTAATTTAGTTAATTTAATGTGTATGCACATGTGTGCCTGCAGTAAGCACATGTAGTATTAGGCTGCCAAATCACAGACTTCCTCAAAAACCTTAGTCTTCTCATGCCACTCTGAGTGTCAGGGAACCCAAAGGAAGAAGAAAATATGGGCATGGGATATGCCTAACTTATTTCTTGGTTCCCATGTCATGCCTTTCTTTCCTTTAGATATTCAGTCTAAATTGGGTGTCCTTAATTAAGTAAAATCCTTTATCCTCCTTTAATAAAGTGCTATACCCAGAAAACGCACAAAATTTAAACCACCAAACACAATACTAGTTTGTCGTTAAAGGTTTGCAAATCAAATATACAAATTAGATGTCCATTTCTCCTTTGAAAGACTGGAAGCAACTGGTCACTCTTCTTCCATCCCTCTTTTTACCTGAAGGTAGCTAAGAAACCTTCTACCTTATCATGCCTTATCATATTTCCAAAGAGGAAGAAAAATTACAGCCTTCTAATTCAACTCACAGGACTTTGCAGGATCTGAGTAACTCGCTTCCTCTGCTCCATCATATTGAAGTCTTGGCGTAGATCAGGAGACATGTTCCTCTCCCGAATGTATTCTGGGTCATTTTCATCGATGCGGTCAAAATACCTCTCTTTGTGAGGCATGCTGGGAGGAGGAGGAGTGGTAATCACGCCTTGGCTGGCATCTGAGCTCATGTTTCAAGTCTGGGATTACTCTTATCTGCATTAATAAACACAAAGAAGGACATTCATGATAAATTCATCATTCAGTTCAAAATTTAGATGGGTCAAGCAGAACTTTTACATTTTGCCCTTAGAGTAAAAACTAGCTTCTCAAAAATATTGGAACAATTTTTTATTCATATAAAAAGATCTTAGATTATAATACTAAATTGAAAATTGATATTTTCAGAGCAATGGAAACTTATGGTTCAATCATGTTAATGTCATCAACTAATTTTTTTGTTTATTTTTTTGAGATGGAGTCTCTGTCACTCAGGCTGGAGTGCAGTGGCACGATCTCGGTTCACTGCAACCTCCACTTCCCAGGTTCAAGTGATTCTCCTGCCTTAGCCTCCCAAGTAGCTGGGACTACAGGTACATGCCACCATGCCCAGCTAATTTTTCTATTTTTTAGTAGAGACAGAATTTCACCATATTGGCCAGGCTGGTCTCAAACTCCTAACCTTGTGATCTTCCCACCTCGGCCTCCCAAAGTGCCGGAATTAGAGGTGTTAGCCCTGCGCCCAGCTGGGCTGAAATGATCCTACTGCCTTGGCCTCCCAAAGTGATAGGATTACAGGCATAAGCCTCCGTGCCTGGCCCCCAACTCTTGTTTTTAATACCACATATGCACAGGCATATTTTCTAAGTGTTTTAGAGTAATAGGAACTAGTACAAACCAGTATGAATAACATTAAGGAAAAAAATAGTCTTAAACAACATACTTTGAAAATGCTACAGAGAACAAATTTTTAAAAAGTAGTTATAACACTTGTGAACGCTAAGGGTTTCCCTCTGATGTAGCCTTTGCTCATGCAGATTAGCAACAAGGTATCAATGCATATACAAAATTCTAGTTTTAAAAATCTTATGCAAATAACAACTATCTAACATGCATGTTAAAAAAACATTAGGTTCAAGACAGAAATAGATGAAACACTCTAGAATGGTGGCTTTCAAACGTTTTATATTGGATTCACATACAAATATAAAAGATCTATAACTGAAATAAATTAATGACATGATGTTTCCCCTTACTATGTGGTACATTCTGATATTTTCTATTTTAATCTATTTCATTTTAACAAATGCTGGTCAAACTGATTCATGAGCCACTAATAGGTTGTGGCCCACAGTCTGAAAAACAATGCCCTAGAAACTCTAAGTTATGGTCAGGTAGACAACAAGAAGAAGGGGTAGGATAGGTTAATTTAGAATGAATATATGCTAGAGAAGAGTAAGAAATGATTCCTTGATTTTTTTTTTGAAAGAAATATTTATTGCAGCTTATTACATATTTCTTTACATGTTAATAGTTTAAAAATAGTACTCTTACAGTAAATCATAATTTTACTTTTTTTTTTTTTTTAATAGAGAGTTTAGGCTGGGTGTGGTGGCTTGTGACTATTAAGTACAGCATTTTGGGAGCCTGAGGTGGGAGGATCACTGGAGCCCAGGAGTTCTAGACCAGCCTGGGCAACATAGTGAGACCCTATTTCTAGAAAAAAATTAAAAAATAGCCAGGTGTGTTGGCATGCACCTGTAGTCCTACTCAGGAGGTGGAGGTGGGAGGATTCCTTGAGCCCAGGAAGTTGAGGCTGCAGTGAGTCTTGATCACACCACTGCATTCCAGTCTGGATGATGCAGTGAGGAAAATAAGTTTCTGTATTCATGGAAAACTAGTTTACAATTTGCTTTGAGAAATATGGGTGTTAAAGGAACTTTAAGTAGCCAGTCACAGATAAAATGTTACAACTATCTACTTAGTTTAGATAGAAGGCTTTGCAAATAGCACATCTACCCATTTAAAACATGTGAATATCAGCATTGCAGAAAGATGAAAACAATTTCAAACTCTGAGGACATTATAAAGGAGTGTTTATGATTCTATGAATTATATATCTGAAAGCACATTTTTGAGGGAGGATTTTTGAAAATAAGCACCTATAAGACAGATACCCTAAACACGGAGCCACTTAAAGATACTGCCAATGATTACATTTCTATTCATTCCCTCAGCCATCCAACCGCTAGTATTATTATTCGCAGATAAGAATAATCTTTCTGCAATGTTTCAGAATATTCAACCATTTGAAAGCAGAACTACAGCAGACCAGGTTTCTCTGAATCAAATCAATTGACTGCCTTAAACTGAGGATCATTCTACAAAATAACTGGCCAGTACTCTTCAAGGTCATGAAAAATAAAGACTAAGGAACTGTTCCTGATTAAAGAAGACAAAGGAGACTAAGACGTGACAATTAAATGCAACATGTAATCTTGGATCAGATCCTAGACCAGGAAAAGGACATTAGTGAGACAATTGGTGAAATTTAAATAGAATCTGTAAATGTGATAATAGTATTTATATCAATGTTAATTTCCTGAAACTGATAATTGCAATATGGTTATGGAAGATATCATTTAGGGAATCTGGTTGAAGGACAAACAGCAATTCTTTAACTATTCTTGCCAACTCTTTTTAAAGTCTGAAATAATTTCAAAACAAAGCAAAAAAATATATCCAAAATATGTAAATAAACATTATTCCAATATAAGACAAATCCAGTATCAACATAGTCAAAGGAAAATACTAATATCACAATTTTCGGGCCCTCCTGAATTTTCTAGTATACGATGTTATTTCCTTACTAGAGAATTTTTAAAGTTTGCTCACAGGTAAGACAGGATACAAAATACATTTATGAAAAGAAAGCCCAGCCCCCCACACAAAATGTCTCAAGAATTCTTCCATGCTTCCCTGTAATATAACCTTGGCACTTATTCCACTAAGAAGTAGAGACTATTTTTCTATCCCTTAAATCTGGTTTTGACTTGTGACTTGCTTTGACTAATGGAACGTAGCTGAAGTGACGTTATACAACTTCCAAGAGTAGGCCTTTGAGGGTCATGGAGCTGCCACACCACGAAGAAGCCCATCATGAAAAATAAGAAGAGGCCCAGCTGTCCCCAGTAAGCCAGGTTCCCAGCAGACCCCACCAGCTAACTATAGCAACATGAATGAGTCCAGGTAAAAGCAGGTTGAGGTACTCCTAAGCCAACATACAGAGTCATGAGAAATAATAAATTGTTAAAGCCACGAAGCTTTGTTTTTTGTTTTACCCAGCAAGAGATAACTAAAGTGAAAACTGACATTACTGGTGCTGTAATAACAAAAACTGAAAATGTGGCATTAGCTTTGGGGCCTAGGCAGTGTGGACGCTATTAGTAGAGGCTGACAAGGCAGTGAGGAGACTGCTACTGGACGCTGGAGAAGAGGTTATATTGCTTCGTGAGAGCAGAAACTAATAAGTATGTGTTAATTTGAAAACTAGAAAACATGCTTAACAAATGTGGAGCTGGCTAAGATTTCTAGGCAGAAGACTGAGTCAACAGAGTTTTGGTTTTTTTTTTTCAAAAAAAGTTTTTTAAATGTAATCATTTATAGGAAATAATACAGACATCCCTTATACCCTTTCCCCCAGTTTCTCCCAATGACAACAGATTGCAAAACCATATTACAGTATCACAACCAGGACACTGACAGTAATACAATCAAGGAGATGACTTCCAGTATCAGAAGTACTCCTCATGCTGCCCTTTAATAGCAAGGCCCATTTCCACTCCCTCTTTAATCAACAGCAACCACTAATCCATTGTCTATTTCTGTAATTGTCATTTAAAGAATATAAATGAAAATATGCAATATATAAAACCTTTGGGAATTGGCTTTTTTCACTTAGCATCATTTACTGAAGATTTACAGAGACTGTTGTGTCGATAATTTGTTCCTTTTTTTTGGTTTGAGATGCAATCTTGCTCTGTAGCCCAGACTGGAGTGCAGTGGCATGAACTTGGCTCACTGCAACCTCCACTTTCCAGGCTCAAGAGATACTCCTGCCTCAGTCTCCCGAGTAGCTGGGATTACAAGTGCACATTACCACAGCCCGGCTAATAATTTGTTCCTTTTTACTACAGAGTGCTATGCTATGGTATGGCTGTATCATTATTTAATCATTTGCCCACTGAACAACAACCGGTTATTTCCAGTCTTTGACTATTATATAATTAGAGCTTTTTTAAAATTAATAGCAAAAAAGTAGAAACAACCCAAACATCTATCAACTGATAAACATAAAATATGGTATTTTGTCATATAGTATTCCAGAAAGAATATTACATGGCAATCAAAGGAAATAGAGTACCGATACATGCTACAACATGGATGAGCCTTGTAACATTTTAAGGGAAAGAAGCTAGTCACTAAGAACCACATACTGTATGGATTCCATTTATAGGAAATGTTTAGAAGAGGCAAACCTATAGAGGCAGAAAACAGATTAGTGGCTGTCTAGTGCTGTGGGAAAATGATGAGCGGCTGCTAATGAGACTTCTTTTTGGAGTAATAAAAATGTTCTAAAATTATTGTGGTGATAGTTGTACAACTCTGAATATATTAAAAACCACTGAGTTGTATACTTTATATGGGCAAATTGCAGGTATGTGAATATATCTCCATAAAATTGTTATTTTAAAAATCCATTCTGAGAAGCTACTGACCACCCTGTAAGCTTGGGGATGGGGACTATCTTGTAGTCCTCACAATGGGAGACAGCTCCATAAAAGGGGCTGAGTTACTTTACTATATCACAACTCCTTCAAAATGAATCTGGTTTGCATTACTTCTCAGCTGGGAATAGTAAAAACAATCTTTTGAAAAGAAGTTATTACTTATAAAAAATCTTTCCAAACTTAAAATTCTTGGCAGTTTGAACAGCTTTCTCTAGAATAAGCAAAGAGATGGCTGCACTTTCAAGTCCCAGGCCTATTGTTCCACACTTGAAAGAATAATCAAAGATACACCAAGACCTCAAAGCAGCATATTTGGTTAAAAAACAAAACAACAAATGCTACTTTAGTTTTTCTTGATGAAAGCTACTATGAAATTTTAAAGTTATTTGAAGTTCTAGAAAACAACTTAGACCCTACACAAACTAT